AGTAAAATAATTTCTCTTTTTTTTAAATTCGTTTGAATTTCTATTTTTCTTCATTGCATTCTAATACATTTCATCCATTCAACTTTCTACATAATCCCTTTTTCATCAGAGTGATTTTTCCGTTATTTTTATGAACAAATGAATTGAAATAATCTCTTTTTTTATCGAGTTGGAATTTCTATTTTTTTTCATTCTCATTTTACACTATTACATTTCCTCCATTCAACTTTCTACAAAATTCATTTTCTAGCAGACTGATTCTTCCATTATTTTTATGAACATAAGAAAAAAAACATCTTTTTTTATTCTTTTAAATTTCCATTCTATTGTTTTTTTCATTGCATTCCATCCATTCAACTTTCTACATGATCAATTTTCAAACAGACTAATTTTTCCATTATTTTTATAAACAAACAAAAAAAAACTAATTTTTAATTATTTTATTTTCTATTTCATTTCTATTTCAACCTATTTCTTTCTATTCTCCCTATTTTCTTCATAATCCATTTTTTTAGAAAATATTCTAATAGTTTTTAGAAATATACAATAAAGCTACTAGACATTAAAAAAATTTTAAAAAAAGTAATCGTTTCTCACTTATATTACTAATAACTTCTAAATTACTATTTCTTAAAAAAAAGGCGTTCTAAATTTATTAACGACAATCTAATATTTGGAGAAAAAAAAGTTAAGCATATTCATTAAAAGCTCTGTCTTCAAATAAAATAATCCTTCGCAGCGAATAAAATGTAAGTTTTTTTTAACTGTTGCAAGCTTACAACAGTTAATGAAGACTGTTGGATTTTATTTATATTTATCCAACGTTATATCAGCTTATTCTGAAAATAAAGCAATTTGCCTGCAACGAAGTGAAGGAAAGTTACTGTTTTGTGAAAATAAAAAAAATGAAATTTGAAAACTTAGTTCAAAGCGACTCAATTCATTGTCAAATTTACCAAAAATGAGAACTATTCATTGCTTGTGAACGAATTTAATCTTGATTGAAATATCTCGCAAAATTGCTAATTTTTAAAAAGTTGAAATATAAGTTGTTTTTAAAACTGTAAGTCTTTTGTTCCTTTTAAAGTAAAGACAATTTTTTCAGCATTATAGTTTACAGAATTTAAAACCAAAGGTTTTTTCAGTCACTAAAATTGTAGCTTTTGCCTTGGCGATAGAATTTCAAAGAATACAAAAAAGTAACGATGGTATGTTACCTGAAAAAAATAATTATGAGCCCGACACAAATCACACAAAAAAATTTAAGAACATCTATTTAATAGAGATCTATTAAATTTGTGTTGAACTGAAGTAACATGAAGTAAGGGAGCATTAAATGATGTGTCAGTTAAAAAGAAATAACAATAAACCCTACACAAAACAAAGACGAAATCTAGAAGCATATACAGAATTTGTGTTGAACTGAAGCAGCCTGAAGTTAGAAAGTTCGAATTGGTGTGTTACTTAAAAAGAAATAATAATAAAAAAACACTAACGAACCGGGAAAAAAAATAATAAACCACACACAAAACAAAAAGGAAATTTATAATCATCTAGACAATTTGTGTTGAACTGAAGCAACATAAGGTATTAATTTTAAAACAACAGAGATCTGTTTTGGAGAAATTTGAGTTCTTAAATAAGTAGAGTCTTCACAAATAATTTTACCGTACAAAGGGCCCTTCAAATTATTTTATACTAAAAACTAATCAGTCACACATAATCAATCATCAAAATAAATCCTTCTCGAAATTCTCCTTTTGAAAAATTGAGTCAACGGCAACATTATCTCATAACTTTAAAAATAATGCAACTCCTTAAAAAATATGTATTTTGTATTGTATGCATTTTTTTAACTAAAACAGGATCTTATTTTAATATTCACGAAAACTTGACTCTGACAGGAAGAAACCGATTCTAAGCCAATTTTGTGAAACATATATCTCTAAAATACTAAACAGCGTGTTCTGTAAACATTGTCCTTGATATGTATTTTTAAAAACCTTATCAAAAATGAAGACTAAGGGGTTACAAATAAATATTTTAAGAAAAAGAATACAAAAATGGAAAAAAAAATCTATCAATACACAATTGACCAAAAAAAAAAAGACTGAAAATATCGAAATCAGTTTGATTGCCGGAAAAAAAACGGAAGAGTTGAAAGACGATTATTGTAAACACCTCCTGGTGTCATCAAAAAACCAATATGTAAGGTGTAACGCTTTTTATCCCGCCTTTCTCACAATTGATATTTAAACGAGGAAAAAGTAAAAATACTAACAAAATCTGTCAAACTACAGTTGAAGAAGTAGGTGTAAGAAACACTGAAGTTGGCTTGATTTCAGAAAGAAAAAAATGGAGGAGATAGAAAATTATTATTAGAAACACTTAGGAGTTTAAACCTTCAATAAAATAGGTTATAATGATCTGTACACTCGCCTTCCTTTGCTGTGATTTGCCTGATTTTGATAGCAGTTTTGTTTTTTCCTCGTTTAAGTTATTATTTGAGATTCCCAATTGTATATACATTTTTTTTATCTTCGGTTTGAATTAGGAGTCTAATATATATGCTAAAAAGGTAGAGTTTAGAGAACACTTGTATCTTTAACAAAATCTCTAGTACATAGGAAAATATTCACAATTTCAAAGAAAGAAAATAAAACAGGTTGTTTCTTAAAATGTCTGAAATTTAAAAAGTTTCTGGTAAAATTACGGTAAAAAGTACTGGCCCCCCGAGTGCCGTTAATTTTTACTGTAAAATCCATTTTAACCGTAAAATTTTATAACACAAAAAATCTGATATACCGCAATTTTCACTGAATTGCTGTAAATAAATAAATAGTACTATAAAAATTAAGATATAAAATTTTAATTTAAAATAGATTTTATAATAAAATGTATCGGCACACTGGGTGCCTGTACTTTTTACTATAACTTTAGTAGGATTTTTTTACAGTGTGAACAGACCCCTGAATATATTTCGAAACTTAATCTTTGTTGGGTAAAACCTAAATGTAATCTAAATAAGCATTGAATAAATTGAAAAAAATATTTCTCAAGTGTCACAATTTACAGCATTTTGTCCCTTAGACAGCACGTTTGCTCTAAAGGCACTTTGTTTAATTAAGTTATCAGCAAAGAGGTAAGTTCATCCAAATGAGTTAACATTAATTCCAAGAAATGATATTGTTAACCACATCCTACTTTCGATGCATTAAGTATTACTCTAGTTAAGATTTCAGAGAATTTTTTTCACTACTGCGGTTTTTTATTTATCACCTTTATACTAGAACTTAATCACTAAAATGATATATCTTATTGCATAATGCTAAAAGATGAATTTTTATCATCGGAAACTTATAATAAAAAATTGTGTTGATCGCAGTTAAACCTTGCATCCCAACAGTTGCAAAGCAGAAAATATTTTCTGCACTTGGAGGAGGACTAAGTTGATTTAAGGTGTTGATTTTCATTGCTTTCTTTTGAAGTAAAGAATCGAAACCAAGATGGTTTATACAATCGGAATAGCTTTGCCCACCAGATGTTTTCTACCTAAAACTACCATTAAAATCAATATATTCTGAATATTGCCTTTGCCGGGGTAAACTAAAAAAAATAATAATCTGGAGAATGGTTGAAAATAAACAATTTATTATTTTTATAAATAATTTGTATTTTTCAATTTGCTAGATTCTTGTAATAAAATTTTGATTGATAATTAATAGCAAATGATGAAAAAAAAATTGATCTCTAAGTAAGGACGTAATATGATTACGGAGTTTGAAAAAAAAATATTGAATAATCTTTCTCAGAAATAATTCACTACACCCTTTTCTTGGTGATGGAAATTTAAAAGCAATATCGGTAAGGGGGAAATTCGTTCAATTTTTTCAACAAAAAAATCTGAATTCCTTTGATAAAATTCAGATAAACTCAGATAAAAATACAATTCTGCCACACATACATTTTTAAAGTTAAATTGCATATTTTTAGTCGCTCATATGACAAGCTATGTTCATTTTAGATAACCGGTCATGTGGGGGGCAAAATAGTTTTTAAACCGCTTTAGAGTGAATATTACAATAATCATAAAATAGCGTTAAAAATAAAGAAAATATTAAAATTGCCTTAGGCTTTCCATATCGCTTAACCCACATTAGATTCCAGACTATCAGTTGCAAAAATTATATGGCAAAAAAACTTGTTTATTTTCATGAACCAATAACCACTAACGAAATTATATTTTTTAAAGGTTATATTTTTCTGATTGTTATGACATTTTTTTCATCACTCAATTTTAAATGATTCGCAAATTATATTCATTTTAGTATAATTCGCTCCCTTCCCCCAACTGGTCAACGACGTGGGAGGGCGAAGACATTGATTTTCTTCATCACTATAGTATTTACAACTATAACCAGAAATAAATTAGCATCAGCCTTTCCATATATGTTTAACTCCCTTCAGAACCTAGATTAATAACAAGCATAAGCATTAAAAAATTCAAAAATGAAAACAAGAAAAAAAATTTCTTCGTTGTTGATGTTTACTTTTGCCATAGATGTTTGAGAAGACCAGTTTCTAACAACTGAAATTTAAATTAAGAATAAAAAAAAAAGCGCTCTCAAATTTCATCTCATAAATTTTAAAGGTTTTAAAAGTTAAGTGGAAACTTTTTGCGGATGCTTTGTAGACACTTTCAAAAAAAATATAAAAAAATAAAAATACTATTATGAAAAAGAATTTCGTCTCACAATCTTTCCCACGAACTTTGAAAATCATTGTAGGGGTATTTACCTCATTACCCTATCCCTTATTATACCACCCACGTTTAATCCTTAACTGTACAATTTAGAAGCGGTGAATAAAGTTTAAATTAAGTATATAGATTTTTATGCTGCTTCTTTGCAATAAAATTTGTGACATTTTAAACCTCGAATTGACTGTATAATTGAAAAACAAGATAAATTTAGAAAAATATAAAACAAATTCTACATCACTTAAAACCAATCAAAATACAAAACTTTAATAAAATTTTGGATTATAATGAGTTTAATTGTTTCGGCAAAAAATACATAAAATAGTTTCACATTCCAACTGGTCCTGTAAGAGAAAACATATTACTGTAACATATTTAACATACTGCACTGTAACATTACTGTAATAACTGTAACATATTTAACATATTTAAGAAAATCGTACATTGAGATTCAGCAGACTAGATAGAAAAAAAAGAATCTACCGGATTCACAAAGAATCAATTTTTTTGAATTTAATGCAAAGTATTTTCTAATCCTCGTCCTTGGAATAATTTTAGTCTTAGTTAAGAACCTTCACATTTAGAAAAGAAAATATATCAATATCTCACGGATCATTAACAAGATTAATCACTGTACCATCGAGTAAACTGAGAAGCTTTTCTGATCAGTACAAGTACACCATTTATTAAAATCTCACAAAGTAAATTTTGTGTTCCCGATAGTTTTTGTTATAAAGAATGATAGGTAAAATTATGAACAAATTTCCAGTTAAATTGAAATTAATAAGCATTTCTGATTACTAATATTATGTAGAATTGCTGTTATGTCACACTTTTTAGTTTCTTCCAACAAATAAATTGGCTTTTTTGAGATTTTGATTCTAATGGTGCAATTCACCGCGATGATTAGTCAGATTTTAAGAAAGTTTTGTTTTCATCATTTAAATATTAATATTCAACTTCTAATGACTACTTTTTAGAAAAGTCTTCCAAATGTATTTTAAGAACTGATATAAAACGGAATGACTTGAAATAAAGCTCTTTTTTTTATTTTTAGTAGGTCTTAAAAAATCGAAAAAAGTTTAAGTATCTTAAATCTTCTTGCGATAATGCGGACAACTACCAACATTAGGAAATTGGCATAATCTTATAATGTAGAATTAACATATTTTGCAGCCTCAATATGCAATAATTTATGAAACCATGTAAAAAATAATTTCTTAACAAGAATATCTGTACAAAATTTCATAATTATAGCTTAACGGCACGGAAACTGGTAACTTGGATTGATCATTAAGAGGACGTTATACCACAGGAGAAACTCTTCATGGCAAAATCTCTTCCCCCTCAAATAGTAATTTAAAGTTTAAAGTATAGAAAAAAGTGAATTCAGATAAACCTAGAGTAAGCCAGGCTGCTTCAGATTCCGGAAAAAAAATTATAAAAATGCAAACAAATTATGAAAGAATTACTTAGGATTACGCTGTGGGGAATCTCTCCTAATTTGCTTGTATTGTGATATTTTAACAACATTTTTTAAACATTTGAATTTTTATGGTTTCCTCTAGATTTACCTAAACACGATTTTCTCTGAACTTTAAATTTCAATATACCAATGGAGATCTTATAAAAAGAAGAATTTGCGATGAAAAGTTTCTCAAGAGGTATAGCGACCGCTTAAGGTGACAATTCAGCTAAAGAGTTGATTTTTCTAAATTGATATCTTTGACCACTTCAGCAGCTGAATTTGAACTTCAATGCTGTTGCTATGTTAAAATTTTAAAACCGTGTTAATAAATGATAACGAAGTGCTTTCGCAAGCTAATAAAAAATCTGATTCTTTTTCCTTGTAATTTTTATTTAATTTCATTCATTGTAGAAGCAGAATATATTAATTCAGAGTTTTCCACCTTGTATCTAACCCCTTTGGCGCAGATGGGACACCGGTGTCCCTTATATATATTCTGAGGATCTAACTACAAACAAAAATGTATTTGATATTTTTTAATTATACAAAACAGTCTAATAGCTTCTAAAAAAATCTGTTAGATAACGGAATTATATGCGTTCTAAAAAATAAAATACTAAAAAAATAATTTGAAAAAAATTTTTTTTTCATTTATATTCAAAAATTTATCAATAATTGACTTTATAAATTAAAGAAATTTCAATGATGAATTACTGTTTCTCTTAGATCTAAATAACTGCAAATAAGTGCACATTTGAAAAGTTACCGTTTATAAGTGAGCCGTGCTTGAAAGATTTTACCTTTAACGCAGAAAAACACACCGGTGTTTCATCCTGTATTTTATAACTCCAAATTATTAAAAGGCTAAATATAATATTTTCACTTCATTTGAATTAAATTAATACGAAGTGATGAAAAATATTTAAAAAAATATATTTTATACAAATTCTGCGTCAAAGGATTAATGATGGAAGTAGACAACTTTTCCGTATCATAGCTAAAAGATTTAAGATACTTCAAACTTTACAATCTATCCTACACTATAAAATATTCCATATAAAATTGCTGTAAAAAGTAATGGCACCCTAAGTGCAGTATCCATAAAATTCATTTTTACTGTAAAGTTTTACGGAACAAAAATCTGATAGACCATAATTTTTTTTTACTGATCGCTGTAATTAAATAAATATAACTGTAAAAATTGCGGTGTAAAGGTTTACGGTAAGAATGGTGCCATAACTTTTTAACGTATTTCTATCTGAAATATTTTACAGTGTAACAGATATGTCTCATTTTAAATGTTATTTGGAAGGTGAATCCGGTATTATCCAGGAAATAAAACACTTTTTAGAGTTCTGGATTTTCTCTCAGAACCCAAATGTTCTCTTCACTCGAACTGGCACTCGAGCAAGAAGCAGAGAGTCTAAACACGGGAGCTCTAATATTTTTCCAGTCAAAATCTGGTGGCAGATCACGAATCATTGAATTTTGCAACGACATCTTCCTTAAATGAGAAGCATCTAAAGATGTCTTCGATGAATGAAAAGTTCTTGAAGAAGCCTCAAGATTCGGGCAGGATGGAACGCGATTCGACTCTATCTGAAGCCTGTTTAATTTTAGAGCTTCTTCAGAAACTGTATCAGCAATGTCGACATTCAGTTCGAGATTTGTGTTGGTTAACATTCTGGAAGTTTTCTTGCACGTAATAGGTAGTACAGCTCGTCTTCTGGAATCACTGCGGTTCAACATTGTTATTGATGGAGAAGGACTGAGTTCACTTTGACTATAACATGATGCTCTTCGAGACAATATTTTATGTGAATTATTATCAAATGATTGAGATACTGAAAGAGATCTCTGTTTTGGAGAAGATATGTGAATCGCTGGTTTGTCCGATGAAGAGAATTTAAATTTCTCAGCGCCGGGCAATCTTGGCTGCTTCATAATAAAAAATTAACAATATTGCTTTTCAGATAAAAGAAGCTGTGACCTGAAAAAAAAAATGAAAAAACTCAATTAATTTCAATGAGCAAAACTATATTATTATAAATATTGGTACTTTTTATCACTAAAAGCAAATTTATTTTCTGATCACGCATTCATTGCAGTTTCCAATAAATTTAACACAGATTAATTAAACAAATACTCAGTATTAATACTGCCGTGCAATCGAAAAAACAACGTGTCTCCTGATAGATTTCGCGAAAAGTGGCTTGACAATTATTTTCTTTCTATTGCTGATATGAACACTAAAATAGAATTTCAAAAAAATAAAACAAAATTTATTCTTGAAAAAAAATTTGTATAAGTAACTTATCATATAAAAATATCTAACTCAAATCACTCAATCTTGAATTTTTTGTTACTTCCGTTAATTTTTCTACTACACTGTAGAATTGTAGTTAACGAGGAACTAGAGACAATGATAATCAAAGTAATGATTAAAATAATAATAATTCTTTATTATTATTTTAAATTATTATTATATTTATTATTTTAAATTATTATTATATTTATTATTTTAAATTATTATTATTTTAATTTCTTATTATAATAATAAATAATAATAAAGAAATATTTTAATGTTAAGAAATGGGATGTGATATTCACATGTTAGAGCTTCAGCAAAAAAAAGAAAAAATATTTACTTTTCAATTGAATTTAATGCATTACTAATTCTGAAATATATAGCTTCAGATGTCCAACTCACTTTTAAGATGTTTATGTAATAATTAACGCAAACCTCGAAATTAATAGTTACATGAACGAATGTGTATTATTAGTATATCACAAATAGCTAATTCGCTAATGTAAAAACTGTTAACCAATCATGAATAATACAAATTAAAGAAATACTATAAACACATTTAGATTTTTTAATGTAGTTTTATTTAGATAATGTTTATTCGAGCATCAAACAATAAAGCGCAGTCAAACGTTCCAATCTGTTCGAATGAGGGCACTTCTCTCAATATTAAATAAACCACAGGGAAATTAATAGCATTTACTTCAAAAAATAAATACAATAAAATAATTTAAATAGTTTTCAAAACGTAGATTATTTTCATACAAAATGGTTTTGTTCATATCACGAGGTTCTTACATGTGACTAAGCATGTTTTCAAAATGATTTAAGCAATTAACAAAATAACAAAATAAACAAAATTTTTTAAAAATGTAATTTTAACGAAATTATAGTTTTAAAAAAATATTTGAAAAAAACTTTGAGATAATAATTTTTGGCGTTTTCTTTATTTTTAAAGTATCGCTGGTATTGTATATGAGTTTAAATATGAAATATTTAGCTATGGAGAATTTTAAAATCTTTCTATTTTAAATAATAATTCAAAGTTGATAGAATTTAAATAATAATTCATAGTAAATATTAAAATTATCGAACATACGCACTTGAATCAGCATAAATTTCATATCAGCTATAACTGAAAGAGTACATTTCTATGGGGTTTTCCTCCCCCCTTTTTTTATTATCAACGAATAAATTGATAAGAATCGAGTAGAATATTTTTAATTTTTTTAAAAAGACGTTTAGAATTGCAATATGTGTCATTTTAAACAACCAGTTATAATTAAATTGACCTATTACAATACTAAATAACAATTTTATAAAAAATATTTTTTTTAAAAAAAAACATAGGATATTATCTTTTAGCATTTTTTTTCTNACGTTTAGAATTGCAATATGTGTCATTTTCAACAGCCAGTTATAATTAAATTGACCTATTACAATACTAAATAACAATTTTATAAAAAATATTTTTTTTAAAAAAAAACATAGGATATTATCTTTTAGCATTTTTTTTCTTCATTTTTCAATTCTTTCTGGTATTGTATATCGATATATATATGGAATACTTATCAATGCAGAATTCTTATCACTTTCTCTTTTAAATAATAAGTCAAAGTTGATACGATTTAAATAATAATTCATTAAATTTATCGAACATATGCATTCGAATCATCATAAATTTCATATCCTCTAAGACTAACTGTAAAAATACATTTCTATGGGGTTTTTTCATTTTTTTTTTTACCTACAAATAAATTAATAAGAAACGAGTCATTTTTATTTCACTTCTAGAAAACATGCTCCGCCCTAAGCACACAAGTGATTCCTTAATGACTGAACTGCCATCCACGACAGAAAAAAAAACTAGTTTTTAATTTTTTGTTGGTGGTAATGCGTTGACCAAGAGTGTAAATATTTGAGAGAATGCTGCCGAGAATCGTCATCACATGCTTCAAGAAAATTATAACTCTTCAAAATTCTCCTTCAGAAATTTTGTTCACAAATTAATAACAGGGTTCCGGTGGTCCTTGAAAATTATTATAGTGGTTATTAGCATAATCAATTATAATACTAACAGAAATTTACTCTTCAAAGATACCGCTCTATTTTTTGGTGGTCTGGTATGGAAGAATTTTCACATAAATGCGTATTCCTTGAAAAATACTGCGTAATAGTCCGCTCAAATATATTGCATTTTTGCTTTTACAAACACAAAGAAAAAAAAATCTGGTAAGATTTCAGCACTTTAAGATAATGACACTTCTTATAAAAAAAAACATAATTCTGGTTAAGGAAATCAAAATATACAATATTTAAACCATTGATAATTTTTCCATTCATATGATAACGGCTTACCTGAAATTTGGTTTTTAAAATTATAGTTCTTAGTATCACACATTTAATGAAAAATACAAAACTGAAAAGTAAATTTAACCGAATACGGGATTTTATGATGAAATTACCAAATTTTATCACACATTATAAAACTATATTTTTTTGTTAATTTTACCAAAATCATTACTAAAGAATATGAGAAAAAATTACCGAGATATTTGGTGTCCCCATATATCCAGAAAATGACAAATTTTATAATATTCACGTTGTTTTGAAAATACTCTTTCTTTTTCTCAGAATCGATATATTCTCCCCTGCTTTTTTATAATAATTTAATACTTTATTTTTCTCAGAATCGATATATTCTCCCCTACTTTTTTATAAATATCTAATATCAATGAGATACCCTAATACGAACTATAAATAATTTAATAATAATACTGAGAAAGCGAGACAATGAAGTGAACAATAAGTGAGTTACATTTGTACAGTTTAAGCATTTTCTTAAAAAATATAATGTGTTAATGCTCTAAAGTTGCAACAAAACTATAATATAAAGTTACACAAAACTTTTATATAAACTTTCTTTTAAAATTTATTTCACGCTTTTTCAATCTAATGAATAAAAAAAGATGTATTTATGATAGAATTACCACATTTGATCAGGGACCTATTTAAAGAAAAATTCGGATCCATTAACTGCCTTTTCACAAATTATTATGCAATAAAAACGGAAACTTCACAATGTTTTTAATCTCAAAATTATTTGAATTATTTTAAAATGGCTGAAATGGTTCCTTGCTTTCTGAATGCGTTAAAATAAGGTCCTGTTTTTATGAGAAAAATTGAAATTTAGTGTCTTACAAGCAGTTTTATATTTGCAAAACACAAAATCTCAATTTTTCTCATAAAGACAGGACCTTAATTTATCGCCTTCACAAAATAATACTTTGCCACAATGAGCTCTATTGCATGCTAATTATAAATTCTAAAAATTATAAGACCAAAAATCTTACAAGCAAAAACAAAAGAGACCAGTAAACAAACATTTTCAAACCTACTATAACAAATATGAAAACAAACAATGAAAATCACAAAACAGAACTCTTTTTCACAAATTCACAAAATTATGACTAGATTTTTCACAATTTCACAACAAGTCTGAATCGACTCCTAATGCATCAAAAGAAATAACATCTTACTGCCTTTCTCCGTGAACAAGGTCCACGATAGGCATCTTCATAAATTATCTTCAATTGATGGGTGTGCAATGGTGTTTACACCCACATAAAACAATGTAATCTACATTAAACAGCGAGCATATTTTTAATGGGCGGAAATGGATTTTCAATACAACGGAACACTCCCAATTAATGGACATTTTAATTAAATTCTTATTTCAATTATCATAAGTATTTCAAATGAATTCTACTTACGGCGATCGCAGAAGGTGAGCCGGCATCTAGTTCACTGTAAAAGGTTTTCTCTGTTTAAAATCGCATTGATTTTGTACGTAAAGAGGTCTACAGAACTAATAAAAAAGACCTCTTACGGTTTAACTGCCGCATATAAAACCCATAAAATCTGTTCTACTAAATGGAAGAATTAATCGACTAAATAAAAAGAGTCTATTATAGCTTAATTTTACGTCTTCTATATTTTCAAAAAAATTACGATATCGTTTTAGATACTCTCTGGTGTCGATCCAGATGACGTTTTATGAAATGTTCTGTTTTTGTGAAATTGTGAATAATAACGAAATCTAGTGGTCTTTTCAATTTTTCGTGAGAGGTTTTGTTTTTGTCCTTCAGTTTTTCAAATGAAGGATTTTGTGAAGGTTTTTAAAATGAAAAATGTTACGAAGAATCCATTTTTTAAAAGAAAATATTTTTTGCTTAAATTAATTAATATCAAAATATCATTAAAAGAATAAAATAATATTCAAATTATTATTTTTTTTCCGTTTACACGATAAAATATTTTCTAAAAGATCACAGTTTACAATTATATTAAATTCTGTTCTGCTAAATGGAAGAATTAATCGACTAAATAAAAAGAGTCTATTGTCTATTATAGCTTAATTTTACGTCTTTTATATTTTCAAAAAAAAAAACGATATCGTTTTAGATACTCTCAGGTGTCGATCCAGATGACGTTTTATGAAATGTTCTGTTTTTGTGAAATTGTGAGTAATAACATAATCTAGTGGTCTTTTCAATTTTTTGTGAGAGGTTTTGTTTCTGTCCATCAGTTTTTTAAATGAAGGATTTTGGGAAGGATTTTAAAATGAAAAATGTTACGAAGAATCCATTTTTTAAAAGAAAATATTTTTTGTTTAAATTAGTTAA